TCACTTACACATAGTTATTATCAATTATGTTTTGACGTCGTCCACATTCCCTAAGCAATGGAAAGTGGCAAATGTCATTCCGACCCCTAAAGACAACCTTGGTGACTCTCCCCAAAGTTATATGCCCATCAGTATTCTTCCAGCTTTATCGAAAGTGGTTGAAAAAGTTATTTCGAAACAGTTACTGTTACATTTAAATAAATATAGCCTCCTATCTGAGTACCAATCTGGTTTTAGGTCTGGGCATAGTTGCGCCACAGCCATACTTCAAGTAATGCCCGGCCTTTGACAGCAAAATGCTCACAATCTTGGTTCTCCTGGACTTCTCTAAAGCGTTCGAAATCCGTGAATCATAATATCTTACTCTTAAAGCTACAACATTATTTTGGATTTGACTCAACGTCAGTAAAGTTAGTAAAAAGCTATCTCTCGATGAGGCAACAAGTTCAGTGTGGCAACCTTATTTCGCAATGCAGTGCTATCTCTTCTGGTGTACCTCAGTGTTCAATCCTAGGTCCCATATTGTTCACAGTTTTTATCAACGATATTGTAAATTGCTGTCAAAACGCATCTATACACTTGTATGCTGACGATACGCAGATCTACCTTTCGCGTCGCTTGGTTTTGGTGAGGATTTGGTGTGCAGACTTAATGAAGACCTCAAAAAATTATCAATCTGGTCAAAAGCAAATGGCCTTTGTTTAAATGCAGCAAAAACTCAGGTCTTGCAAATATCACATGATTCTTTCGATCTCAGTGAATTATCCCCTTTAGTGCTGGATGAAACGCAAATCACATTTCAATCGGTTGTGACGAACTTAGGCTATAAAATGAACTCTCGGCTGACTTGCACAAATCACATCAGCTTTAGCATTACTAAAATTTACTATGTATTAAGGAATTTGTGGCATAGTTGCTATTGTCTACCAGTTCACGTAAAACTAAAACTTGTAAAAACATTCATCGTTCCTCTAATCTCCTATTCTGAGCTAGTATATGGAAATCTCGACCATGAATCTAGAGCTAAATTAAACCTTGCTTTGAATAATGCAGCGAGATTCATATGATCATATTTCGAAAGTATGATCATACTTCGACAAGCACAGAAAGTATTCGAGGCTTCAAGGCTCTGTTATGCATACTTGGCATTGCTTGAGAGTTGTCACATAAGGAATCTGTTAAATGAGCTTCGCGTGTGAGCGGTTACCCAACGCACAGCATTACATACGTTGTTGGTTTTTGATTTCTACGTAAAAATGGTATAGCAGTGCATGCAATGCCAAGTATGCATAACAGAGCCTTCAGATTAGAAAATTACCTTAAGGTGCGAAATATTCTATTTCTATTTAAAATAATTAAATATCGTAAACCCGGCTATCTGTTTGATAAACTCAAATTTGTTGTATCATCTCGCACTAACAACATTGTCGTACCAAAATATATAACTTTAACGGCATCTAGATTATTCTTCGTTAGTGGTGTCAGACTATGGAATTCATTACCAATATCAATTAAATGTATCAAATCGGATAGATGATTTAAGATGGCAGACTTTTTCTTGTAGTTACCTATTTATATGCTCTTCTCTATCCTCTCTGTTTTATCTTTTTCACTAACTATTTATTATCTGTTACTCTTCTCTAATAACTGGATAAGTCCTAGACTTTGAGCTTAGTTTAAGATACAAACCTGTAATTTATAATGTAAATATGTACAAAGAAAAGACTACGTCTTACTGTACTAATAATAATAAAAAAATTAATAAATTATAAAAAAAAAGTATAAACAGGAGCTGAATGCGTGTACAAAGGAATTACGTATTTTGTTGCAGGCGTAAAAAGGAAGAAGTCCGCAGTCGATCCTTCAGTCCTTGTCTGCTTCGAAACAGACTGACTACTCACTTTGGCGAACACCGAAGCAGCGTTGCCAGGTTGACGTTTTTAACGTCATTTGGACGTTTTTTGTATCCCGTTGACGTTTGGACGTTTTTTGTGTAAAAAATGAAGTTTTTTAACTTCCCAGTAATTTTTCTTTTTGACGGTAGGGGGTCTTGTAAGTAGAACTGATTTTGAATTACTTTCTTAAAAAATCTTTACAAGCTTTGTGTTTTGCAGCAGTTGCTTCAAAAGATATTTATTCTTTGGACACAGATGACTTAAATATGATGCAAACCAAGCGTACGCGCATTTTTTTTTTGATCTTGGACTAAGGATCCCGTGTTCAAAGGCTGCTTGTGTAAACACTTGAGGTTACGAGGCTTATTGTTATGTTTGCAATAGGCACATTAAAGGCCAAATCAGGAAAAGCTGATCTATTGCAACACGCACGCTCGCAAAAGCATCAAAAAAGCTGTAGCAGCATAAAAAGTCAGGAAAAACTAGGCGACTTTTTTAAGACTTCATTGAAAATGTAAAGAACGCAAAAAAGGCTGAATTATTGCTATGCTCCTTCTTAACAGAACGTAATTTAGCTTTTTCGACAACCGACCCCCTAACCAAATGCATACAAGAAAAAAATATATATATTAAAAATCAACGCGGTTATTTAGCCCATTCCAACTTGCACATTATTGCCCTGAAATTTAATGAGCTATCAAACTGCATACTCAAAAAAATTCTAAAAAATCTGAATTAAAAGTTTAAAATCTAGCTGAAACTTTACAGATTTTTTATAACTTTTGCACACAGTTTGAAATGTGGATTTATATTTTGTTTGTTATATAATGAGCTTGGCTTTTATGAAAAAATAATAAACATTAAATAAACAAAAGAGAAACAGCCAAAATCGATCGAAATGTTGTTGACTTAATCAGCTGGTCACAAGTATATGTATAAAATGATTTTTACAAGCTTTTATTTAACTTCACTTGTATGTATGTATGTATGTATGTATGTATGTCCTGGAACTTTGCAGTCAATATTTAACAAACTTCCCGATGAGCTACAGACTTGAAACTTCAAACTTAGCTCAGAACTCGAGGACAATACAATTTAAAAGATGTTTTAATCCGCTAGGTGGCGCAGGAGTCGAGATATTTGTAAAACCCGCATTTATGGTCTGATTTGGTTCGTATTTAGAACATTTATTACGTATAAGAAAAGAAATTAATCCGAAAAAAATTTTGCCGATAGGTGGCGCAGGAGTCGAGATATTTGGAAAACCCGTATTTATGATCCGATGTGGTTCATATTTAGAACATATATGACTTATATGAAAATAAATAAATCCACAAAAAATTTTGCCGACAGGTGGCGCAGGAGTCGAGATATTTGGAAAACCCGTATTTATGATCCGATTAAGTTCACATTTAGAATGCATATTGCTTACATGAAAAGAAATAACTACACAAAAAATTTTGGCAGTTATGTGGCGCGTGAGTCTATATAATTAAAAATTCGGCATCTGTGCTCAAATTTGGTTTATATTCAGAATAGGTGTATTATCTATTTAAATTGAAATATATTGAAAATTTTGTTTGTTAAGTCAAATTTAGTATAATATTAACTGCAAGATTTCAAAAGACTAAAAAGTAGAAAATAATATTATAGTTAAAAAAACTAAAAACACGCTTTTATTACAAAAAGAACTAAAAAGTATAAAATAATTTGTAGATATAGCGATTCCGTTTAGGAGGAATAGGAAGTTCCCTAACCTGATTTAATTTAACTGTTTTAAGTTAGCTAAAAATATGATTAAAGTGATTGATCCGTAGTTATAGTCAAAATAAAGTGCACTGTAAAGTTTGTTGCAGTTTTTTTACAGACACCCCATTGAAAGTTATGCCAAAAAGCTGCAACTAACTTTACAGTGCACTTTATTTTGACTATAACTACGGATCAATCACTTTAATCATATTTTTAGCTAACTTAAAACAGTTAAATTAAATCAGGTTAGGGAACTTCCTATTCTTCTTAAACGGAATCGCTATATCTACAAATTATTTTATACTTTTTAGTTCTTTTTGTAATAAAAGCGTGTTTTTAGTTTTTTTAACTATAATATTATTATATTAACGATCTCAAACCAGTTTACAATGAATTTTAAATGTGCTCTGTCGAAATGACATTTTAATATACATACCTTACGTACATATCTCTGTACCTTTGTATGCAAAAAAGATTAATAAGAACAATTTTTTGTACATTCATTTGAAAAAGACGTTTTTGGGTAGGAAATGACGTTTTTTCAGACCAAGAGGGACGTTTTCTCATGCCGAAGACCTGGCAACACTGCACTGAAGCATGCAAAGAGGCCCGTTCTTCGAGAAGCACCATTACGTACTCAGAACGGAAGCAGAGCGAGGAATGATGAGGATAAAGCAAACGCTTTCGCCTGTCATCTTTCATAAGTCTTTAGACCCAATGAGGCTCTCATCCTTCATATATTTTTAAAACCCCCCAGTAGCCTTACCACAAATCCGCTTCAGGTTTAAAGGAAAGATTTAATTAACACCATTGTTCATGATATTCAGAAGAATAACAAACAACAACAAACAAACTGCCGTACATTTTTTGTTACATGTTTTTTAATAACATGCTTAAGTTGGGGCACTTCCCCGGAAATAATAATGGTGCCAAAGCCAGACAAAGATCCGACGGTATGAAGTTCATATCGGCCGATTAGCTTGATTTCTGTATTTTCCAAAATATTTGAAAAACTTCTATTGAAAAAAATACAACCTTCACTAACAAGCAACCAAATAATACCACATCAGTTTGGTTTTCGTGAAAAACATGGCACTGTAAAACAAGTTCATAGAATTGTTTCTTGTATTAGAAAAGCCTTCGAAGGGAAGCAATACTGCGCCGGTGTATTTTTGGACATCTCTCAAGGTTTTGACAAATTCTGGCATGATGGCCTTATATACAAACAAAAACAAATAACTAAACATTTGCCCAACTAATCTTTTGTATGTGAAGAAAAAATAAAATAAAAAAACCTTGGTAAAAATGCGTTTAACTGATATGGACTGACTTTAATTTAATAAATCAAATATTTACCTTTAATAAGTCTTGAACGGATCCTTTTTCAAAATTATTCAACATCGTCTGGATTTTATCTGCTGGCACTCGGTGTTTATTTTTAAGAGCAAGTTTATACGCAGAATTTTTCCAAGACGTTCTAGGCTCTAGAATCTCAATGGCATAACCATTCTCCACTGCTATTTTCACATACACTAACATCTCCCATAACTTTATATTGGTATTATCAATAAAAATTGGACTCCAACCCGCTTGTGCGTGTTCTGCAACCCGGCGTTGATTAAATTCATGAGCTTGATCTAATAAGTTCGCATGCCATTTGTATCGATTAGAATTGTTATAAAAGAAGTCATCGGAACTAAAAATAAAATCTCTTAACATATACTGATCGTTGAGTTCTACGTGTTGTTCTACGATATTTTTCGCCAAGCATGATTTGCCACTTCCAGGAGCTCCACGCAAAAGAATCATAACTTTAGAGCCATCTGATATTAATCTTGAAATTCGCTGCTCTACAAATGAACTTCCAGAAGAATTGTTTTGATTGTTATTAATCCCCGATAAATACGTATATCCGTCCGAGGCGGGTCGCTTTTGAACTGTGTCCTTTATTGCAGCTCTTTCGCCCACCGATATATTTTGCTTTGGAATAGCTCCACTTCCCAATTTCCTGTCGTCTTGGTTATTGGCCTTTATCAAGAAGTCTATGCAGCGCTCAACTGTGATTAAAAATTATATTGTAATTAGAAATTTATAAGCCAGGAATGTTTGGCTATTTACCATTCCATGAATGTGATTCACAGAGTCTTCGTAGTTGATCGCAGGGGACACAATTAAAAATATCGGTCAATTGTTTTAAAATATTCTGTTTTTCTTCTTCACTTAATTGCGCCGTTTTCGATATATAATATGGGCTTTGCATTTTTTATCAAATTCCCTCCAGAACTTCAGCTACAATCTTGATAACAAAATCATCCATGAACGAAAGACACAAGTCACGCCTTCCCGAAAGAAAGAAAAAAGTTGCTGAAATCTCGACGCCATCTTTGTTGTAAGAAGTAAACAACGAAGAGAACAAAACAAAACCACGTAATTGTTGAACAAATGAATAATCATTTTTATTATGCAAATTCTTCTATAAATCATGTCGTTGTGTTAAATTATTCTCTACGTTATGTGTGCACACGTTGTCACAAGCGAAAATTAAGAAAATTGCAGTAAAAAGCCACCACCAAATTGTAAACAACGAACAAATGTAAACAAACGGCTAATGTCAAAGTCGCCCAACTTTTTTCCTAAATGCGATTATAACGGGCTACTAAGACGGAGGCGTGATCTTGTATTTTCGGTTCAAGAAAATCATCAGCACAGTATAGACAGTAACCAACCTTTTTGGGTTGTTGTTGTAGTTATATTCACTCCTGAGGAAGGCACGGGGTTGTGTGCTGCTATTTAATGGCCTTCTTCAGACTTTTTCTAAGATTTCAGGGTTGTGTGCTGTATTATTATTAGATAAATAAATTTAAGTATTTGTCAAATCGTGATTTTATTAAAAGAAAATTATAAATGGTGTTGAAAAACCAAACAAACACTCGTGCGAAAGCTCTATTTTTGGGTATTGTTAAAATTTATACATGGCGTACTTATTCTTTTGTGGACTTTATGTTACTTGAGAATTTAGACAACGTGCGAGCTGCCAAGTTCTGTTATCATTATAATTAACACAAGATTTTCCGAGTGGTTGCCTTTCAATAAAAAGAATAAACAAATATTCGCAAATAAATTGGGTTTATTTTATAACTGACAACTTAACTACGCTTTTTGTTCTTTTCTCCATTTTAATTTTGACTTCTTATTACCGCCAACAACTTTATGTGTATACATATTTACAAGCTGTCAAAATTTTGCGTAGCCCCACGAGCTAGGTAAAAACTATGGCATTCGTATT